AATTTGTTCAACAAAGAATAGAACATTATAATTATTTATTGAGTGCAAAAGAGGCTTTTAATTTTACTTTGTGCGCTTGATGCAATAGTATTTTATTAAGATTATCTTTAAAAGTGAAAAAGCTTAAAGCTATCATCAAGTTCTACACTTGATAATGATATCGATAACTCTTCTGAATTAGAAATATGTGATCTTACTATAGCAAGTAGAGCATCCGAATCTGAAGAAAAACTTGATTGGAATCCTAATGAAAAAGAGTATCATGAAGAGGAATATGAACCTAATGATGATGAGTCTTTATCTGGTAAAGAAGTTGAATACGAATATAATTATGGAGTTTTTATCAAGTTTGAAAATGGAACATCTCTTTCGGCAAAATAGTATACAGCTAAAGTATCTATGGTTGATAAGCTACTTTCAGAAATTCATATAAATATTAAAACTTTAATGGGAAAAAAACCAGTTGATCCAAATGATTATCATATTGTATTCAAATCTGAAAAGGCAGCAGGAGCAGGTACTCAACTAGTTGATACTCAAGGCTTTAAAAAATTTCAGGCTGATTACCAAAAATATAAATCTAAAAATATCAATATGGCCTTTTTTATAACATTTATTAGGTCAAATCTAAAGCGCAAAATAGATGTAAGTACAGTATAGTAAAATATTTTATATTATACGTATTTATTATATATAATAATATAAATAATTTTAAATACTCATTTAGGATCGTGAGCCTAATAATAATTCAGACGATGATATTGTTACAGATTTGAAAAACAAAAATTTTATTCCTAAAACTTCAAATCTATCTTCACTCAAAACATCAATTGTGAAAAATGTCTTAGAAATTCGTAAAGAAAATCATTGCACAATTCATAATCGACCATGTTTAAATAAAGATAGAGCTAAAGAAAATCATGTTGAAATTACTTTCATGATGCTTTCAACTTGGGCATCTGAAATTGTAAGTATATAAACAACTTTTACAATGTATAATTTATTTTATATTATAATTAATTTTAAATATATATAGAATAAAGCAATAGCATTACCAACAGAACCGCCAGGACCCCAAGCAATCTATGTACAGCTAAGATTTTTAAAAAATCTTAACAAATTACTAAAAAAGTAAAAAATCTGCATAAAAATAGTTAAAAATAAGCATATATATTACTAAAAATAGTAAAGATCTGCAAAAAAATAGTCAAAAATAAGCAAAAATAAATTCTAATCTATCTATATATAGCTCGGGGTTCTGAACCACCTATACATCCTTTGTTTGCATATAAATATTTAACAAAAACAAAAGTGTCATCACAATTGCAATCTAGTTCTATAATGCAACAATCTGATTTGATGCAACAGTCTAATTCGATACAACAATTCAATTCAATACAACAATTTGATTTGATGCAACAACCTAATTCGATACAACAACCCAATCTAATGCAACAATTCAATTTGATGCAACAACCTAATTCGATACAACAATCTAATATAATACAACAAGCTAATCTAATGCAACAAGCTAACTTAATGCAACAACCTAATTTTATTCAACCTTCACTCTTTTCGGATTAACATTATATGCCATCTTTATTTTATAATCTATTTTCAATATATATTCCTTTACAAACTTACAGAACACCTTTTCAAATGCCAGTTCAATTACCTTTACAACAAACATTACCTACAATCAAAAATTTTTTAAGAAATATAGATGAAAATAAAGATACTGAAGATTATTATCAGAAATTTTTATTAAAATTTGAACAACAAAAAATTTTTGTACGACTACTTTCTGAATTATCAAATGAAGACTTTGAAAAATGTGGAGTAGATACTATTGGTGCACACCAAACTCTTCGTAAATATACTGCAAAGTATAATGCATTATCATAGCAAATTGTAAGTTAAATGAATATTTATTTATAACCCGCTATATTAAAGAAATTATTAGAGTATGAGGGGGTAATTTGAGAGCATGCAACTAATAATAGATATATAGGATCTAAACAGCTTTCTACAAAATACTGATGTCATCTTAAATAATTTTTTATACATGAAAAAGCTAATTCTATCGGGTTGAGATCAGGCGAATAAGGAGGAAGAAACTCTATATGTACTCCAAATGCATTTAAATATTCAAGCAATCCATCATTATGATGAATTCTTGCATTATCAAGTACTAAAACACTTTGTTCATGTGGAAATAAATTCATTTGAGGCAGCTAAAAATAATTAAAAAAATTGTTTAAAAAATATATATATATATATATACTGTATACAAATATTATAATATATTTTATATATATATTTCAATATGTACTACTTGAGAAATTACAAATTCTTTAAATCGCTTTTTTGTGCAACTACCCTCTATAATATCAATAGCAATTATACCATCTAAGGTTAATGCAGGCAAAAGTGTATAATGCTTACCACGTAGAAACACTACTTTTTTGATAGCCCTTGTATTAATTTCAGAATAACCATATTCTCGAGAAATAGTTTGTTCATCTTTAGATGATTCATCCAGAAAAATTAATTGGTTACTTTTATATTGAGAACCAATATGGGCCATAAAGGTACTGCGAAGTAATTCATTGCATTCTTTTGCTGCTTTATACAACTGAAATAAAAATTAAATAAAAATTATATTTTATTTATATTTGTATTGTTTTGTATTGTTTTGTAAATGCTATAGTTGAAACTTTATTTAAAAAAATAGAAATAATCTATATTAAAAGATTTCAAACTACACTTGTGCTACTAAAAGGCACCCAATGTGACATTATACCCTCTAATTTTCTATATAATGCTATTGTTAATTATTTCACAATAATTATACAGCTAGACTAGGTTAGAGGAAACCTAATATTTTATTTATATTAATTTATATAATTATATAAAATAAATACTTTTTTTCGTGTTATTCCACAATAAGCTAATGAACGCCAAATAGTAGAAATTAAGACATTTTTGCCATATCGAATTTCCATTTGTTCAACAATTTTATTAAGATATATATCTAGATTTTCTTGGACAATATTTTGTAATATCTATTATATAATATATAGTATAAATTAATTAATACTATATATATAACAAATATTTTACACCTACATTCATATCATTTCGATTAAAAGTTTTATGCTGTCCAGGTACTTGTTTCTATGGATTTGCTACAGTTCCCCATTTTTTATATAACCGTAACACTTTCTTTACCAAACCTTTACTAATATAAAGAAGATTTGTAATTTGCGATATTGAATAATTATCATAATATAAAAAAATTATATGCTATTTCAAGTCATCACTATACGCAGGAGGCATGTTAACGAAGATTTTTTGAATTAAAATATAAATATAATGATTATATAAGTGATATAGAAGGAAAGCCTGAAAGCGAATATTTGTTTTCATTGTATACTATGTAATTTATTATCTTCAATTAAATTTTCACTGTATATTACATAATTTATTATGTTTTGATAAATTATCTAACATATGTTTATTGTATTATTGAAATTACGATCATATCAATATTACTACATATTGTACATTCATAATATCAAAAATCTTTAGGATTCTCTAAGAATCGAAAAATCAACTAGAATCGGCTGATTTCTTGTGATTTCACATGACATAATGATCTGCAGAGATCACACCGTTTTGCAAACCACCATAATATAAAAAAACTAAAAAATTATTTTATTATTTATTTAAGAATAAAATAAAAAATCAACTATTTATCTATTCACAAAAGTGTTATTTTTTTATTTTTTAATTATTGATATTATTTAATCAAAAAAATAAAAATAAATATTATTAAAATATAATTAAAATTATATAAAGAAAACTAATCTAAGATCCAAGATATATCATATTATTTGTAATACTAAAAAATTATAAAAATAATAAATAAAGTTATTAATATATTATTATACAAATTTCTATAGAATTTACTATATCTTTTTTAATACAAGATCTATATTAGACAAGTTTTTTTATTTTAAAAATAAAAGAAGAAGAAATAGATATATTATAAAATGCAAATATTGTTTAGCTAAATTGAATAGTAAATCTAAAAAGCTTTATCAGTATATTCTTTAATATTTTTTTTAAAATTATTGGCAGCCTTGCCAGTATTTTATTAGATCAAAGTATATATATATATATATAACCAACTATCTAAGTTACAAATTTGATATTTCTCAGCTACTCTGAGGGTGTCCAAGAGTGGTTTGCTTTATTGGATAAGATTTTTGCCTGCACTAGAGAGCTATACCAAGCTAGCTATTGAAGCTATACCAAAATAGCTTTGTTTTATTTATATAAAAGTTTTTAACTGATATAAATCAAGACCTTTTTTTTTTGTTTTTTCCTCTTCTTTAGTTTTTCTGTTTTTTTTTTTTAACTTTTTCTTTGATTTGATCTTAATTCATAACAAACTCTTTTGCAAGTTCTTGCATCTGTCTTATACTAGAACTTGGACCTTCTGATTTTGGCATCTTTTTTTTCTTCAGCTTTGTGTCAATTCCTTCTTTTTTTTCTTCTAAAAAATAGACTAATGATATATATTTGCTGAGTCTTCTGGTTCTTTCTTCTGTATTACTCCAATTTATACCTATTTGAAAGTTAAGAATTGTCTGTATAAACTATCTAGTAGAGCTTTCTATTAGTGAACCTTCCTAGTACAAGAAGGTGTTTGATTCTTGAGAAGATTTTTCTATAATATTATCATTATCTTCTATTTTGGCTTCTTGCTTTGCTAATTTATCTGTTAAATTATTCTACTTATTTTCACTATAATCTTTAACCTTTATTAGATCTAGCTAAAAATTTTTAATCCTAACTATATTAACTACACTACTTACTAAATTATGATTATTTTAATTTAAAATCTGTTATATTCTCTTTTTTTTTTCTCTTTCTCCTATATTTTCTATCGCCAATATACTGTCTGTATAAATCTTAACTTTTCTTTCTTTTGATATAATGAGGAGTATATACCAGATCTCAAGCAGTTTAGCTTTTGTTAAAGATAGCTAATTTCTTGCTCCAAAGCAGCCCTTATTTAATATTTTGCTTTCATCTTTATTTATTTGTATCTAAACAGCTCTCATGTTGACTAGTTTGATTTGTAAAGGACTATCATTATGTCTTAAAGATCTGTCTGTATAAAATATCATTGGATATTAAGAGCTCTCTTTTGCTACTATATTTCTCTTAATCAGATATTCTTATATTTCTATATTGATGTATTGTTTTTTAATGACTTCAATATCTAGGTCAAAGATACAGATCTCTTGTAATTCTCTTTTGTCTACTAGTAACTTTAGTACAGATAGCTTTTGTGTTAGTATGAAAGCTTCTTGATTAACTTTAAGAGTGTTTTCTTCTTGCTTGTTTATATATTTTGAGATGGAGCTGATTGTTTAACTATTTTTGATTATCATCTTGCAAGATCTTTTTCCTTTTCTCAATTTAATTTATACCCATTACATTTTTTTAACTTGGTGGATAATATGTTTAAATTTTTCTTTGTCTTTTAATGCTCTGTTAAGGTTTTTTTTTTTCTTCTTAAGAACTTTCTTGATAATTGGACCTTGGTTTTTTTTATTTTTTGTATTCTGAACTAGAACCTAATTTTTCTTTTTACTATCCTTTTTCAGTAGATATGAGGCTATCTGAAGCATCCAGAAGTTCAAGCTTTCTAATTTAAACTCTGGTTTGACGGTTCTGCTCTTTTTATTTTTTAATACCATCTTCTCTATTGCTTGAAACCACTTCATCTTTTTATCTTTGTGTGAATTATTTCTAAGGATTTTTAACTGTTGTTAGGTTATTAATTAGTGATTTACCACTTAATCAGAGAGAGCTTATAGTATAACATAATGCAGTTTATATATAAAAATTAAGGTTTTTTGAATATGAGCTGCTTTTATCTAAAACTTTTTTTGTACTAAGTTAACTACTTTTGGGCTTCTAATTGAAGTTGTAGAGCTTGTTAAGACAAATCTAATAGTAGTTGAATTATTAAAATTGGCCTAGTAGCTTATAAGATATCTTTAAAAAACATTTTGCTAACTATGTAAACTTCTTTTTTAACAATAGTATATTAAAAGAGAAGCTTATATAGTCAGCAAACCATTTTCAAAGATATCTTATGATTTTCTAGGCTAATTTTGATGATTTAACCACTATTAGATTTGTCTCAATAAGCTTTATAACTTAGAAGCCCAAAGGTAGTTAACTTAGTATGAAAAAAAGTTTTAAATAGAAACAGCTTATATTCAGAAAATCCTAATTTCTATATATAAACTACATTATATTATACTATAAGCTT